ATACATGTTCATCAACGTCAGTCACACAGTGTGCGTCGCCCTTCTAGCGATCATGTTGTGTGGTTGACACGGGTCAACGCATAGTCATGGCTTTATCGTTTATAATGAAAGAAAATACAGTGTGTTTTTAGTTGTATTTTGTACCCACTTGCTATATTTACAAGTCTGTACATTTTATTATGTTGACACTATCATAATCTAGTTCTAAAGCCAGTTTGATATCAGAGCTGGCAATAATTGTGACATTTTCCCGATATAATGTAAAATTACAAAATGTTCTGTGTTGATTAAATCGCTGCAGGCACGGAGGGTCTTGGTGAACAGCTGGAAAATGTCTTGTGGGCACTCATTAAATGGCCCGGATGCTCCTGTGTGCTGGCTGGATGAGGAGGTCTTGCCAGAAATGACCCTCCTTGATGATACATGTGATTCCCCTCTTCCTGGCAGAATGCCTGCTACACCCGTCACAGCTGGGTCTATGAACGGCAGGTTCACCTCTCTCCAGCTGAGTTCCTCCTCCGACTACACTACTGCTGAAATACCCTGCCCCCAGGAGAAGACCCTGGATCTTCTCAAATCTAATTTGAGCAGCCCCAAAGCGGAAAGTAAGACTTTCAACGCCAAACCTTCTAGACAGAATGACTCAATAACGTCAGAAACAAGCTCAAGTGACGGTGCTGAAGAAGACAATTCTGAAGTCCATAATCCTGAACTGTCTAAACATAATAGTACAACAAGTACAGACTCTAATGATAAGATGTTTGAGCCCCCTGAGAGTATAAGTTATCCAGAACAGTGGCTGGATGTCCGATACTTCCCAGAAATTACTCTCCTTGATGTCACACGTGAATCAGAGCTATTATCTTCTATGGAGGCCACACAGGAGAGTATTTTTGAAAACAGTAGGTCTTCACCGGAGCACAGTGGATCAAACATGGCTAAGAGTCAAACATCAGCCGAAGAAACATCTGATAGTCATCCTTCTAATGTTACTACCGACATGAGCTCCTCGAGCGTTGTGTCTGTCCGGTGTGCTGCATCGCTGTTCTCTACTTCCGACATGCAGTGCAACACTAGTTCAAAGAATGTCACCTCGGAGCTTCATGGTGAACCTCTGGTGACCTCGAATGCTGTGGAAGCTAACGATGAAGAGCCGCCTGCCAGCTACGATGCAGAGTTGTCTAGCAAGGAGACACGACCAAGCCCAAAAGCATCTGGGTCTGTGAACGGCACATTGACCTCTCCTCAGAGTTCCTCCACGGATTCAAACACCCCTGCTCAAATACCCTGCCCTAAGAATACGACACTGGATCTTCACCCGTCTAATGAAAGCAGCCCCAAAGCGCAGAGTGAGGCTACAGATCAGGCTACTTCAGTTTCTGACAACACCCCTGAAACTTCCCTCGTTATTAGTCAGAATGTCTCCGCTGTGAAGGCAACCAGTTCATCTGCTGTGCGGAACACCACTTTTGACAGACGTTCTCTTCAAAAAACCTGTGCCAATACTTTTTTAGGGGATGCTGGTGCTGCAACCAGTTGCCTCCAAAACACTTTTGATGCTGAACCTCCTCGGCAGAACGGCACGATAACTTTGTCAGAAACGAGCTCAAGTGACGGTCGCCAGAACACTTTCGACAAGTCCACTCCTCTTAAGGTCTGTGATGCAACAAGTAGCCCAAAAGAAAACAATTCTGTGGCCCCAACTCCAGATCATAATGGGCCATTTTCTAGGACGGACCCCAATACCAGGATGGTTGACACCCCTGAGAGCGTGTCTGAAGTTAATCCAGCTGTTGAGGAGGCTTCTGGAGCTGGCCAACGTGACACTAAGGATCAATCCCAATCAAGTCTGTCTTTGACAGATGGTCTCTCCGACACTTTAGGCCATCAAAACATGGATGTGGAGAACAACACTTCAAACCCATTCAATTTGGATGATACCCGAGATTTAAGGGCAGACCCTTTGAGCACTTCAACACCAATGACTACCTGTAAAATCTTCAGCGTAAACACTCAACGAGAGGGCGGCAAAACCACAGCGGCACAGAAAAGGCTGTATGGGGATGGTCTCAGGAAGCCAGGTGGTCAGCTGCCATCAGATGTTCCATTAAACATCTTATGTGACCGAAAAACATTCTTGACGCATACAGCTGCTAAATCGCTTTTGCCTCCTTTGAGAGCTGCAGCCAAGCTGTTGAGAGACAAGAAAGGCTCCGCACCTTCGGGAACGTTTGATGCATTGACGTCAAGCCTGCCCATGACGAGACAGAGAGCCCAAACTGCTCCTGGTGCACCCCAGGTAATAGGATTTGAATGTCTTTTTTTGTAAACCACTAAGTGTACAAAATGTTGACATTACATTGTGTTTAATGGAATTGATCAAATGAACTCAATTGACAATGTCACTGAAAACTGCACACAAGCATTGACTGCATGTACTGTCTGTTGATGACATCCTCTGTTCTTGTGTATTTAAGACCACAAGAACATCAAGCTCTCACAAGTTGCGTGCTTCAACGACAGGTAGGCAGCGTGTGTTCGTTAGTAGTTTCATTCTTTATACATCTTGAGTGTAAATTATTAGAAGTATGGCATGAGAATTGTCAGCATCTGTGCTCTTTATGAGCGATTGTTACAATTTGTGAAGCATTATCTTTAGACTAAGGACTTAGTTCTGTTTGTTTGCAGATTGTTTTTTTTCTTCCCATTCTTAACTTCAGCTTAACTTTTAGCTGCGTACAGTATTCACCGTCCACACCGTCTTCCCTCTGTGCTGACATTAGGATCAAAGCAACCCAATTCAGGTTTGCAGAGACCTCAGGTGAGCGGCGTTGCGTCATGCATCCAGAGAGCTGCAACAAGTCTCAGGCTGCCATCAGTGAGGAGCAACGCATCATCTCACGGACTCCGTGGACCTACAGGTACTCGTTCAGTGGTCAGACTGTAAGAAAAATACATGTACGTACATTTTAGTTCAAGTTTGGTCTTGATGTTCCTTCGTATGGTATTTATACACAGCTGTATTTCTGAGCCCCAATAATAAACAAAGTGAACAAACAAGACGATGAATTAACATGAATTTGAATGTAATTGTTTTGTTTTTTTCCCCCTTTTTTT